AGAAATGGAAAAAGGTGGATTATATGGTGATTTCGTGGTTGTTAAATACAATGTCAACTGAGATAGCTGAAGGATTTGTTTATGTGGAATCTGCTTTTCAACTTTGGGATATTATTAATCAAAGGTTTGGCGAATCAAACGCACCTTTGTTATTCAGTTTGCAAAAGGAAATCGCCAACATTAAGCAAGGAAATTCATCTGTGGTGCTATATTTTTTGAAGTTGAATAGGTTATGGGATGAATGTGCGGTTCTAGCTCCTTTGCCACTCTGTGATTGCCCTAGATCGAAGGAAATCTTAGAAATGGATTCCAGAAACAAGCTGATGCAGTTCCTTATGGGGTTAAATGAGACCTTTGAGGCAGTGAGTAGCCAAATTCTGCTTATGGAGCAATTACCAAATGTCAATAAAGCATACTCACTCATACTGCAAGAAGAAAGGAAGAGGAATGTTCACACTTTGTATCCAGACGCAGTTGAAACTGCAGCCATGGCCTCAGGACAAGTGAGATTTTATGGACATAAAGGAAAACCAGCTTGGAATAAGGGAAAACCACAAGTTTGGAACTCAGGAAAGTGCAAGGTATTTACACCGAGAAGATCTAAAGAGAAAAGAGCTCAGCTGACATGTGATCACTGTGGTTTTACTGGACATGAGCAAAAGGAATGTTTTAAACTACATGGTTATCCGGATTGGTATAAGGAATACAAGGAAAAGAACAAGGCAGTTGCCAATCAAGTGGAATCTGGAGGGAATTACATTGATCCAAAGGGAATTGATATGGCTAATTTGGCTCAAGAGCTTATGAAGTACATAAGAGGAACGCAGAAACCAAATTTTGAAGTATTATCTGAAGGTGTCAACTTTGCAGGTAACATTGCTAACTCAGACTTTCATTTTGCACTTTCTATGTTTGAGGACATTGGAAAGGAGTCTTGGATTTTGGATACTGGTGCTAGTAAGCCCATGTGTGCAAATAAATCTCAGTTACATGATATTGTTCTTTTGCCTAAGCCTATTGCTGTATACCTTCTAGATGGCACTCTTAAGCAAGTTACACATACAGGAAAAGTCCATATCAACCCTTACATTACACTTACAAATGTCTTAAATATACCAACTTTTAAATTTAACCTCCTATCTGTTTCACAATTGGCACAAGATTCAGATATTACATGCATTTTTACCCCTGACAAATGCTTGTTGCAGGGCCCTAAGGATTGCAAAGTGGTTGCAGAGGGAAAGATGATAGGAAAACTCTATTTTTTGCCTTCTGTTAATTCTTCAACTCTTGTAAACAATACTTGCTCTTCTGTTGATTCTGAGAAAAACAAACTTGTAAGTTGGCATGTTGTGTTGGGACATGCATTTGTGAGCTCATTGAAACATTTGTCCTTCTTGAAACCTTATTTTTCAGTTCATAATGAAACCATTGTCAAATCTTGTGAGACATGTGCTAAGGCAAAACATCACAGAGATTCATTTCCAAATTCTTCTCTGAAAACTAAATCTCCTTTTGAGTTGTTGCATATTGACCTTTGGGGACCCTGCAGTGATAGCAATCTAAAAGGGATTAAGTATGCCCTAACCATTGTAGATGATTACAGTAGGGCCACATGGTTGTACCTCCTCATGCACAAAAATCAAGTGTCCCATACCCTTTCTTCTTTCATTTTCCCTTATACAGAATCAGTTTCAGAAAACCATTAAAACTTTCAGAAGTAATAATGGCACATAATTTGTAAGCCAAGAGTGTCAAAAGGTTTTCCATTCTTATGGTATAGTACATCAAAGAACCTGTGTCTATACACCACAACAAAATGGCATTGTTGAGAGAAAACATAGACATCTTCTTGAAACAGCTAGGTCACTTATGTTTCACTCCAACATTCCTTTGTTCTTGTGGCCTGAATCTTTGTTGATAGCAGCTTACATGATAAACAGGTTACCAAATTCTACTTTGAACTGGAAAACTCTTTTTGAAGTCCTATATGGCAAACCACCAGAATACTCCTTATTGAAACCTTTTGGATGCCTAGTTTTTGCAGCCAATACAGAACCACACAAATCCAAATTCACTACTCGATCTCGCAAGTGTGTTTTCCTTGGGCTAGAATCAGGTAGAAAAGGGTACAAACTATTCAATATTGAGACTGGGAAGATTATAATCAGTAGAGATGTGAAAATTTCAGAGAACATTTTTCCTTATCAAGAGAAAACTCTTCCTTCACATGATCCAGTTCCTATCCCACAAATCTCTATTCTTGAAACTTCTGATTCTGATAATTCCTTGCCACCTGAAAATTCATCTGAAATTTTGCCTACCCCTTAACCCTCAGTTACTCATTCACAACCTCATAGACCAACTAGAACCAAATCTAAACCTCTCTGGTTGCAGGACTATGTCACTTACTGTTCTTCTACTCATCTTCCCACTGCTACCATGAAGCAGTCTAAAGGGGTGACCACAGCAGGTATCTCTAATTCTCATATACAACCATATAATCATTCTTTTCCTTTGCACCCTAATTATCTTGAGTTTTTGCACAATGTATCTATTGATCAAGAACCTGCTTCTTATTCTCATGCAAAGAATAGTGTAGAATGGGTCAAAGCAATGCAAGAAGAGCTAACTGCTCTAAAGCAGAATGAGACTTGGGATTTAGTTGACTTACCAGCTGGTAAGAAACCCATAGGTAACAAGTGGGTTTATAAGATCAAAAGGAAACCTGATGGATCAGTAGACAGGTATAAGGCCAGATTGGTGGCAAAGAGGTACACACAAGTCTATGGAGTTGACTATGTGGATTGTTTCTCTCTTGTGGCAAAGCAGGTAACTGTCAGGTTGTTCTTGGCCATAAGCTCAGCAAAAGGATGGCCTTTATGCCAAATTGACATAAATAATGCATTCTTGCATGGTAGTTTGAAAGAGGAAATATATATGGAGTGTCCACAGGGCTATGATAGACAGAACTGTGGGAAAGTTTGCAGGTTAAGAAAGAGCCTCTATGGGCTTAAACAGGCTTCCAGGGAGTGGAACCAAGAATTTTGTGACAAACTGCTAGCCTATGGTTTTTTCAGTCACAGAATGACCATTGTCTGTTTACAAAATCCACTGGGGATACTTTTATTGCATTACTGGTATATGTAGATGATGTTCTTGTGATGGGACCAGATTTAAAGCTTATTGAGGACTTAAAGTCATACTTAAACAGAGAGTTTACCATTAAAGATCTGGGATTTGCTAAATTTTTCCTAGGTGTGGAAATTGCCAAAGGAGATCATGGGACTTATCTTAGTCAGAAGAAGTATATTTTGGATATGCTTAAGGATTTAAAGTTGGAGCATAGCAGAACTGCTGGAACTCCTCTTCCACATGGTCTTATCCTGAAAAGTAAAGATGGTTTGCCTTTGCCTTCAGCTGATGTTTACAGGAGGTTAGTAGGAAGGTTGTTATATCTCAACTTGACTAGGCCTGACATAGCTTTCTCAGTCCAACAACTCAGCCAGTTTGTTAATGACCCTTACTCTTCTCATTGGGATGCTGCCTTACATGTGCTCAGATATTTGAAAGGCACATCTTCCATTGGTTTGTTCTATCCCAGCACAAGTAACTTCAAGCTCACTGCCTATTGTGATGCTGACTGGGGGGCTTGCCCAGACACTAGGAGGTCTTTAACTGGCTTCTGCATTTTCTTGGTAGATTCACTTGTGTCCTGGAAAAGCAAGAAACAATCCACTGTGTCCAAGTCTTCAGCTGAGTCAGAATATAGAGCTTTGAGCTCTACTGCTTGTGAAATCCAATGGTTGGTGTACATCTCTCAGGATCTTCAGCTACCTATTCATCTTCCAGTGCCATTGCTTTGTGATAATCAGTCAGCCTTACACATTGTGGAAAGTCCTGTTTTCCATGAAAGGACTAAGCATTTGGAAATTGACTGTCACTTGGTAAGACACAAATTCAAGGAAGGGCTGCTAGCTCCCAGTTATTTTCCCTCTTCCAAGCAGCTTGCAGATGGTCTGACTAAATCCATTGGTGGTCATCTTTTTCGGTCCATGGTGGTCAAGTTGGGAATGACAGATTTTCAATGTCATCCCACTTGAGGGGGGTGTGTTGAGATAATTAATAATATAGCATTTTACTAGTTAGCTTTAGTAGTTGTTAGTCTCAATATGTTGTTTTCTCTTTTCTTCCTTAGTCGTGTTTCTCCTTCTTTCATCTAGTATAAATAGCATTTCTATTGTAATTTGACCGTTGAGTTTTATTAATGAAAAGGAAACAATAGGAGATTTTCTCCCCAAAATTGTTCTTCTCCATTTTTCTGCAAATTGTACAGTGTTGAGTTAATAAATATATGTGTAAAGTTATTTATATCTAATACCAAATCTAACTCCGGAGCAAAAATAATATAAAAACAACATCACGAAGCATAGATTTTCGCCATATCAGCATCCGAAGCGTGAGAATCTGCTACCTAGGCTCTACACGTTTTGAATTAATATATAGGGAGGGATACCTCAAAATTTTGTAAGAGTTTTTAAAATTTCAATTAAATACCTAGAGACTTAAAAGTTTTAAAAAATCTAAATTGAATTATTTTACATGGTAATTCATGGCTTAATTAATCATTTATTCTTCTTCATTTGAAACCAATATTGAGAAAATAAATATGCCACAAATATCTACTCAAAATTTATTATTTGTTTTACACAATTTGATTCAATGTTTAGCCATAAAAAAATTAGTCAAAAACAAGTAAAACCCAATTTTAGAAATTTATTTTCTAACAGAAACTAGTCACTATTACCTGGAAAACAACAGTCGCAGCAATATGAAGCAAAGAAAACTCAATTAACTATTTAAGAATAATCTCGTAAGACTATACTAGAAGAATATCCAATAAGACTCACTCAAGAAGAGAGATATACGTATTCTGAAGAAAACTCCCCATATTACACGAAGTACATATGTTACACGGTCCTAACTATGAGGGCATTATTTCATTTCCACGGCATGACATCTGGGAGGTCGATGCATGCACCCGAGCTCATATTTAGAGGGCTGGCGGGTCCACCAGAGGACTCACTCGGGCTCCCTCTTGAAGGTGAGCTGTTGGGACCCACAACACCACCATGGTTAACCATTGCTGGCATCATGTGATTTTGTCCAGATTCTTTCTGACTATCTGGCTCAAAGCATCCTACTACAACCTGCAATAATGGGCGAAAACGATTAAACAACATATTGATAAACAAATAAAAATCACTACCGAATAGGGACAAAACCATTCAACATTTGTATCATCACTATCTCCCAGAGAATTGAAAAAAATGAGAGATGCACTCGCATTGGTCACACGTTACAGTTTTAAGGAGGGAAATTAAATTTGAATGCTTACACAAATGCAATTTGGGATGTAATTGTCGAAAATTGCATAAGTTAATAATAATAGGTCAGGATGAAAATATGGTACTATTTGCATAGAAAAGCTGGGATTTGTTAAAGGAGTGTAGTGAACTAGTGATTTAGTAAAACGTGCTTATTTGTCAGTAGAAGTTGTACTATACACTAGAAACCGAATCTCCCACCCCTCATTATAGAATCTAACAAAATAATTTAGAAGAAGACACAAAAATTTACACTAAGAAAACTAAATTACTACATCTTGGGCAGAAATTTTAGGAAATCATCAATTCTGCTAGTGAAAATGCTTGGATTCCATGTTTTATAGAAATATTAGAATTACCAATATCTACAGACCAACGGGTTGTACCCAGTAATTGACCCTTTACACATGCTACTACTATAACAGAAACCTCTGATTTGAACAAGCAAATATTACCTGTGACGGGAATGCTGCCACCAATAGGCCAGCCACAGAGCCGCCCAACACCCGCCCATCTGGGCCAGATAAAGCAACGCTTAAGCCACCCGTCCGACTCCTTTGGCCACCAACTTCGTGTAGCATAAATGAGCCAGACAGCGACAAAATATCAAATCGACCCTACACAAACAGAAAGAATTTTTACCAATAAAAACATTTATTACGGAACAACAAAATCCAAACAAAGATGGGAATATCCTGATATGGCAAGTAAAAAGAAGGCATCCACAGAATATATACAATACATTGGCAGTGCAACTAAGAGTGAAACATCAAATAATAGGCAAATGGCATTATCCTTAAATTCATTACACACGTGACAGAGAAAGTGACTAGCCAACCAAGCTTAAAAAAAATGTTTATCTTTTAACATTTCATGCTGTGAGTAAAAAACAGAGAGATTTTAAATATAGATAGCCAATATCCTTGAACCAAAAAAAAAAAAAGCAATATGGAATATAAACCTATGACGAATAAACAAAATACACAGAAAGAAGCTCGTAGGTCGCTGTTCCACCAGATGTGGCAGCCTGACGGAGTGTTAATGTGCGATATTGCCCCACTTGCCGAGAGAACACAAGCAGCACTAGGGCCATTTTGTGAAACAACTAATATTTTTCGAAGAGATGTCCTGAAAAGAGAGTGGATATCAAATTGATAACAGATTAGGTACATTCCACTCACATTCATGGAGTATCAATAACCATGGACATCAAGATCTATGCCAAAGAAAAAACTCTGATCCAAACAACTACATAGTAAAATCAATGATCACATGAAGCATGGTATGCACACTCGCTTTCCAATCGTTAAAAGTAAAAATCCTACACACTCACATGTGCCAAATCAGATTTAAAAGGGGTGATAAGGTTATTTCAAAGGTGCAAGGCAGTCTCTTAATCTATTAAAACCATAACAAATAGAATAGAATCTAAGAAATGGAAACAAAACAAAAAAAAGATGTAGAGTAAACACGGTATTGAACAACTTGTATCCGCCAAAGAGTTTGCTGCACGAGAAGAGAAAAAACTTATATTGGGAAAAAGGGCCATGGCCTTTGCTTATAAGCCAGAGTGCACATCCATAATAAAGTCGATGTGAGATGTATTTATTGCCACAGGTTTTTTTTTATATATAAATATCCCAGTGTAGGATGGGGGTTGAGGCTATACCCCCGACCTGTGAATATAGTGGCCCAGGGAGGGCTAAAAGTCAATAGTCTACATAAATGTCGAAGATACATAGAAAAACATCAAAACAGAAAAACAACATTCCCCTCAGGATGAAGGATGCATCTCTGGGGTATAGATGCCTCCGTGCTAGCAAGAAAATCAGCGGGTCGATTACCCTCTCAGAATATATGTGAGACCTAGTAATGGATCGAGCAGAGGGTGTCTCTGATGCACATAAGGGAGTGTTGTATCCGCCATGAGCCCTGGTGGCCAGATGTGAAAAGCGTGATGACAGCTGCAGCATCTATCTCTATCCAGATGTGAGAGGAGATCAAAGCGGCAATCTCAAGACCAATATAGAGCGCCTGAATCTCTGCATCATAACTCGAGGAGGCCCGGAGTGGCCCATGGAAGGAAGAGATGAGTGCCCCCACCATGATCCCAAATCAGACCCCCTCCTCCAGCAGCTCTAGTATGTCTATCGAATGCGCCATAGGTGTTTAGCTTAACCCAAGGGGCCTTGGGTTTCAGCCAAACAACGATCTTGGGTCGTGAGTGCTGGACAGGTAAAGGAGGTGGTGGCCTCAAACGATGAGGCGGTGTGCAACCTGTCCAGTCTTTCGTCGTGAGTCTACCCAGGGCGGTGAGGAGAGAGAGGTGTCATCAACCTACAAAATGATGTGAGCAAAAGAAAATATAATATCCCTATGCTTCGCGTTATTCCTCTCTGTCCAGGTGGACCATAGGATTAGACAAGGAATAAGGAAGCCCACGTGTCTACTGTGTGTGCGGTGTAAGAAAAAACTCAGTAGCTCAAAAAAACTGTCTGTAGTGGGTAGGGGTATATGAGTATATCTGGCATAGTATTCACACACTCTCCTCACAATTTCACTCTCAAGGAAAAGATGGGTGAAAGTCTCAATCTCAAAGGTACCGGTCTCAGCACAACAATGGCAACGGGAGGGGAAAAAGAACCCTCTCGCCTGCATCACAGTGTCAATGAGAATGCGCTGTGAGAAGACAGAAATGGTCGGGGTGAGAAGGTCGGTCCAGATGGCCCTGAAGAGGAGGTTAGGCTGGTTGCCCAGCCTCACATCTCCCCAAGCCGATGACGTAGAGAATGCACCCGAAGATGTAAGTCTCCACCTCATGACGTCCAAACCTCCCTCCAGAATGAGAATCTGTCGGATCTGGTCAATCTCAAGTCTACTGAAACCCCCACCCTCACCTAGAATTTCATCCATCTTATCTCTATCCAAAAATTCCCCCGTCAAAAGGTCCTTCACCTGCATGAAAGGAAAGTGAGTGACTGGCCTAGTAATCGAAAGGGGGGCCTCGCCGAACCACCACTCATCCCAGAAGCTAACCTCCCTAGAACTCAAGGTCCAAAAATGTTCTTCTGACCACGTCCGCCAACATATGCAGAGTTTACAACATGCTAAATTTATGTCGGATGTATCTATCTCTGATATATGAGTGGACTTGCATGTCGAGAAAACTAGTGTGAGAAATGCACATATGTTATTGATGACGAGGCATGGGGTAACTTGCATCTGGTCAAAGGGTATTGTCTACTATGGGCCAATGGCATGGACTTTTATAGGTTGATCCCTCAAGAAAGATACTTCCAAAGGAAGAACTTGGAACTTATAAGCCATAATCCATCCACATGCTTAACCAATGTGGGATGTGTTCACGCGATATTTAATTACTATAACAAAGAACTGGTGCTTCTATACAAAGTAAATTCAACATAAGGGAGAACAATGACGCAGAAAGGTAGGGTTATTAATGGATGTGTTAAAATGAGTAGAATGTAATGTGGTTCATTATGCATCGCCACAAAAGTCAAGAATGTTTGCACCAACTAGATGAAACATGTTATTGTAATAGAAATTACACCTCTTAAGAGTCAAATCCAAGAAATTCCAATTTGATTAAGATACTTCTTTTTTATTCTCAGCGTCCTATGAAATTGTCTGAACAATGAACTCTGATAGTCATAATCCCATGCTACATTCCAACATGTTACCAAACTTTCACTCCCTAGCTTTTGCAAAATGTTCCTTTTCTAAGGTCACTATTGACATAGTCTGTGGGTGCCTTAAAAAACACTACTATTTTATTATGCGAGATGCTTATTCCATCAAATTTTGCACCAATTATTTCAGTTGGAAGATTTATATAATTAATTTAGTAACTAGTTATTCAGTAATTTACTTGCCCCTAATGCTTGAGCACACTTCTCCATAGCTAACAAATGAACGAGATCAACACACATGTTCTGGTCGCTTCATCCTCAGAAGCTTCAGAATCGTCAATGCCTTCTTCAAACTTTGTTGGGATATGAGAGGTGGTAAGGCATATGAATTTGCTTACTGAAGAGTGAATTGCCATATTGCTTGTGTGTGACGAAGGTTCTTTTGTACCCTCATCATCTTAATCTTCCCACGTTGCCTTCAGTGACTTGCTCTTCTTTTTAAGATTTGCACACTCGTATTGAAAATGATCAAACCCACAACATTCTCTGCATTGGTCCTTCTCAACTCGTTGCGTGACTGGTTTTGAAGATGACGTACCATTTTTCTGGTCTTGAGACGTGTTCTTGCTGAGATTATAGAACTTCTTACCAGAAAATTTATTCATATACAGTTTCTGTCTCATTCTGCCATAACTTCTTGCAATCAATGCAAGAGCTTCTTTCAACTCGCAGTCATCCACCATTGAACCTTCAACATCGTCACTCTCTTCTTTTTAAACCATTACTGCCACCTTGAGAGCTAGTCTCTTGTTCTTGACTTGTCGTAGTTGTTGATTTCGAACGTTCTGAGATCACCAAGGAGTCATCAACATCCATCGGCGCATTTTCAATGAAATCTTTCAAGGGCTGTAATTTTTTCTCTGAACCTAGGCGCAACTGTCAGCATAATCTTTTGAACTTGACGATTTTCAGAGATTTCTTCCCCAAGCATCCCACTCTGGTCCACCAGATGGCAAAATTGGCATAATACATATCAATCATTTCTTCATCTCGCATTTTGATTTCATCAAATCCGAGAGTTATTCGTTGAAGTCTGGAGTCTTTGACTGTCGTTGAACCTTCAAATTGGCGTTGTAAAATTTGCCAAGCATCTTTTGTTGTCTTGCATTGAACTATCGTCTAGTGTTATGTCTAATCAACTGCCATCATCATTGCATAGATGGCTCAATAGTTTGCTTCTTCATGAAGATTTTCGGCGTCAGTTTAGAGATCTCTTGGTTTGAGAACAATAGCCGATGAAGATCCTTTTCCTTGATATGGTGCTTCTACCATGACTGGGTTTGCCCAGCCATTTTAAATACTCTCCCACGCACCTCTTCCAAAAGATCTCAGGAAATCGTCATCATAGATTTCCAATAGGCGTAGTTTGAACCATTCAATTGTGGAAGCCTAGACATTGATTCACTTTTTTGATTCATGATTGCCCAATACACAAGTCCTAAGATATTTTGTAATGTAAACGAAAACCCGCTCTGGTGCTAATTGAAGTTGTATATACGTATATGAAAACAACATGTATATTTCTTAACAAATAACTTAGCAAATTGAGAAAGTTCAAACAATTGCGGAAGCAGTATTACTCAAAATTGAACCTTTAGGAGAGCGTCTCACTCTCCCTTCAGATGCTTTCATTAATGTAGACATCACCAACATTATTCAAGGGTTTACAATGCAGAGCAGACTTTCTCTACACTCTACTTGAATAACAATCCACACCACTACTTATCCGACCACAAATCCCTTGTGGTTTTTCACGTTTGACTCACTCAAACTAAACAGAATGAACCTCCGATCACTCTGTACCTAAACCTTACAAAAATCCCCGTGTGATTGATTTTTCACCCAATAAATATAAAAACGCGAATTACGAG